ACCACTGCCTATCACCGACAACGAAAAGTTTGGCGATGTTGCAAAATATATTGGTGACTCTTGGGTCGCGACCGACAGTTTGAATACTAGAGCCAACAACACCAAAATGAATGGAAAATTAAATAGAATAATCACGAATTATGGGTTTCAGAAATCCATTACCTATGGCCTCAAAATGCTTTCTCGGCCTCTGGACGCAGCCGAGGCCCTCATACCCTCTCCTAAGGCTCGCAAGGGTAGCCCCACCCCCTTTTGAAAATCCTATCATGGGCCTGCAAAAACCTCATGGAAGAAAATAAGCTTTATTTGTTTTATTTTAAATTTGTAAAACCTTCTTATTATTAGGCCTATGCAACTATTCGAGGCATTTATCATGCTACTTAAAACTGTGCAGTTCCCTCTAATTTTGCGAGAATTGAAATTAAGTGGTGGTTCCAGTTGCGGAGGCAGGATTCCCGCTAGAGAGAGCTCTCTCGAAGGAGAACTCAACGCATTCATTATGGGAAAAAAAATCATGTCTAATTTTACAGAATACGAGAGTGTAAGATGGATTAAGGGTATTTAGAGATTCAAAATCTCTAAATTGTTAGAGCTTAGGGAGGCTTTACTCCCTGGACCCCTTTCAGGGGTTCTGGGACATCGTTCTCCCCTGCTGTTTGGCAATTATTGCAACCAGTTTGTTTTAATGGTGATTATTTTAGACACGCGAGAAATAAGGATCATCAATAAGCAAAAAATAATGAACAATTAAGTGTCTTAATTCTCCTTTTGGCAAAATATTAAATTAATCTTATGGTGCTAAAATTGCAATGAATTGTGTGTTCTAATATTGTGCTGTAATACAAATAAAAATAGAATAGAATTTAATTTTTTTTCCATAAAACTTCAAAGGTCTGTGTTGCCAACGAGGGGTTTCGGCCATAGCAACTCACAATTTACGTTACAATTGCTTTAAACTCTGAGATTTTCTTTGGCCCGTGAGATCAAATCTAAAAATAATTTGGCCTTTCAAATAAATTAATTTAGAGCCAGGGTGATATACGATAAAAAGCACCTCCCTACTCCCAACTTTACTGTGCTTGGGCCAGCTAAAATTTCCTGTTTATAATTCTTTCATTCTGCCGTTATTAACATATCGCGGATCGAGGTATAGGGAGGTACGTGTTCTTGTTATTTGATGTAAATTTTACTTAATATTCATATGTTTTTTGTGTTACTTTTTCTGATATGAGAGTATTAATAATGTAAATTATGATCGTTATTATTATTAAGTACTTTAATAATATTTCAATTGATCATCTTAAATCCAAAACTAGAAAAGCGAAAGCTTTTTTTGGTTTTTTTTTTTGTCTTTTACTGTATTATTAATGTATACTTTTATGTTTTTGTACTATTTTATTTATGAAATAAAGTGATGGAAGAATTTCAATTTCAAATAAGCCAAATAAGCAAAAATTATAGGGGAAGGAGAATTATAGTCCTACTTTGACATTTCGTGCCAAGTGAAGTCGGTGAAGTCCTGTGACCCGTACATCGTTCTTACCGTGTATGCAGGAATTCTGTGCCCCTACTATACACAACTGGGCATAGTTACATTTGGGTGGCATGTTATTGTGGATAGGCTGATTAATAGAATCTTAAATATCTGACATAGAATTTCCTGTTCTATAAATAAATATTGAATCATATAACGACCGTTGTACCTGCAACAATTTCATTAGTTTTTTTTATAGGCTTATTATGTGCCGTGGTTATTATTCATTTTCGATAGCAGATCATGGGTATAACACGCACAGCCATTGCCTTGTGTTGAAATTTATAACGAAGAAAAAACACACCCAGGCATAGACTTTGAAAGCAAATAAATAAATAAACACAATTTTATCACCGTAAACAGTGTAATGTTCGAGGTCTAAGAGTTTAGATTCCCCATCCGTCCAAGTACTATATTTCACAAGATAAAAGGATGGGGATAGGGGGAACTAACGTCTGGATCAGCAACGATTGATGAGGAAATAATCATTTGCATATTTATAAACCAACGCTGTACTGTAGAAGGGCGGTTTCGATTCATGTTTGATGAATATTAACCTGTCGAAGACATCGTTTATATATTTATTTGTAAGTATCAGTTTAGTTTTATATCAAAAAGTTAACCCATCTCGTTATTAAACAGATAAGATAAATTATGTTGTAAAAATCAAACACTATAATCAAACACTCATTGAGAGCCTTGTAGAAACATAAAATGGTAGAGCATCGATCAGCATAGGCAAAACTGGATATAAACCCAAAATTACACCATAAATACTGTAATCAGTTAAATTTGAATTTCTTTGTAGGAATAATAATATTATCGTTGTTATTATTTCGCCATCGCCATCATCATTATCATCATCATCACTGCCTTCATCATTTGATTTCAGAATAGGTTTTTTCGTCGCTAATAATAAGCCTCCCCCTTATTAAGATATACATCGAACGGATACAGACTGATAGA